ATATATGCAATTTATTAAGAGCCTGGGAAAATGCCAAGTACATTCACAGTTTAAGGAAGTGTAGAAATGGAAATCACTGCAGGATTGATTTTTTGGCTTTTTTCTTATATCAGTGTAGCAAGATAATATTTGAATATTATTTGATAATAGCTGAATATTCAATTACACTATGCAGATAGAACAGGAATTACTCAGAGTTCACCTGTCCTGGTTAATAAGGTCTAACAAGGTAAGGTGATATGGGAACAGGAAGATAAAGCCTCAGGTGCTTTCTCCAAAGGGTGGAAGTTCCGGGGGACCCGTGAACACCCACCGTCACACTTGATCCGGGTCTCCTCGGCGGGGCTGGCCAGTCTCTGCCTCCACGGAGAGGACGTGCACTGCCACAGCGTGTCCGGCCCCACTGGGCATCGCACCTCATCCACCCACATCAGCCTGGCTGGGGTTCTGTCCAGCGGTGCAGGTTCCATGGTTCCGCTGTCTCCACAGCCGAGCTGCTTGCACGCGACCCCCACAGTGGCCAGGGACATGCCACTCCTGCCAACGCTGCCCCAGACTCCACTGTAAAACACTTCCAGATGTCCTGCACAGGGGCCTTTGCTGCTTTCCCCTGCGAGTCTCAGAGACATAAACTCTGAGGTGAGATACAGAGTTAATTTCACACCTCTTGAAATTTGGAAGAATCCCTCCTTTTACTTTGAGTAAGAAAGGCTTTAAAAATAGGCATGTCTGTCACTGTATTTGTTTAGTACTTTTGGATGATGTGGTTGATCTTAGTGAAATATAGTATTTATTCTATGCGTAACTTCCTATTTTCTAGTCTTGTATTTTTTTTTTTGTACTTTGAGCCTTTTTTACAATGCTGTCAGTGATGTTTTCCAGATCCAATGAAACCCTCCGAGATTTTTTTTTCATTACATAGTTTGGATTTTCTCACTAACTTACTGTAATTTTAGCCTTAATAATCTTACTCTGTTCTTGTCTATTTTAACTGATACATAGAAGTTGTACATGTTTTAGGGGCTGAGTGTGATATTTCAATATATGTTTTGTGATCAAAGCAAAGTATTACCACGTGTTTATCACTTGCGTGTTTCTTTTTCTTTCTTTTTTTGCAACACTCTGACCATTACATTTTAGTGAGACACAGGTATTGAAACCAATATTCTGTGTACATTGTCTTAAAATGAAATACAGTAAGTCCCCTAGTTACAAACACTTGGGTTGTAAACTTTCACAGATATGAACGGACCTTGCATTATGAACATTTGTAGATGCGAACAAATGGTTGTAGCTCACATGTCTGTGAGACATCACCACAGTGTGGTGCTGTGTGCTCACTGAACAGTGCAGTAGTGTGAGTAGTTCAGCAGTCGGAGACTTACTGTATTTGTCTGTGTGTTTGTTTTTGCACAGAGACATGCCTTACATTGTATACTTTACAGTTATGTACAGTTATGCTTTACATTGTATATTTGTGTCAAAGCTGTATAAGACTCCTCTTCTTGGACTTATGGAAGAATCCAACTTACAAACATTCCAGGGTGAAACTCATTTGTCAGTCGGAGACTTAGTATATTTCCTTTCTGAAACTTCAGATTTTTCTGTGCATGTCCTAAACTAGATTAATGTCATTAGCTAGGGCAGTCATTCTGACCACAAAAGTGTTACTAGGTCATAGTATTGTTTTCCTCTATATATTACAACTGTCTGTATTTTTCTATTTCACACTAGCTTCTAAAGTTCATCATTGTATCCAAAGCAAGAGCAGTGACCTCTTAAGATAGTTCTTGCAGCCGTGAGAAAAGGGTCTCATTTATCTTGCTGTACAACTACTTAGGTATGATTATTATCTTTGTCTCTGTAGAATGACACACGGAATGTGTTTCTTTTTGATCCTTTTGATCTAATAATATTATTTTATTAAGTGTTGGCCTCTAATTGTTACTGAATATCTAGTTCTATAACTATTCATAAAAAATTATTATTAAAGTCTTCATGATATCCAAGCCCGTTTCTGGATTTTGCTCTTTATAATCTTACGCTACCTTGCAGATGGGGCAGAACTAACTTGTCAAACTCATACTTCTGGAATCTTAACTCTGGCAATTATCTCCTTAAATATGATTTTCAGGAAAATCTTTCAAATTATTGTAATTACCTTCACACCCTCTGTCCCATCTAAGTCTTTTTTAGGTAACTGTGACCAGGCTTATGTGCAAAATTTACCCGAGCAGATAACTCCTGCATCTTCTTTATGCCTGCAATTATGCTGACCCCAGCCGTGGGAATGGCACTGCCAAATATGGGCTTCTTTTCCATCGCAGTTTATCTCATCCAGCCAGATAGGTCCCGTTCCTTCCCGAAAATAAGCAGAACCAGTAGCATTAATGGCCACTCCACAGCCCAGCTGTCTGCACACCACATGGGCGTCACCCAATTCCCAGCTGTCATCACAGATGGTGCCCCAGGAGCCCTCGTGGTAGATCTCCACTCTCCCTGCACAGCGACCTGGTCCATCTACCAAGCGAATGTGACTGCTTTCTGGAAAAAGGAACAAATTATTAAGAAAAAACATTCTTAAGGATCGAGATCGCTTCCTAGGCTGGTCACTGTTGCTCACCTAGGCAGGTGACAGCACTTTCTTGTGCACTGGGAGAGCTGGTTGGCATCGGGGATGATGAATTGCATGGCAACAATCTCTGGGACTGGTTTCCTGCAAATACCAAGTTGATTCATCACATATGATGCAAAAGGGTAGGGTGAAGAAAGGGCCTCAGATGGAATGTGACACAGATGAGTTGAGGACAAACGTGGCTTTCAGGAGAGGGGGAGGTGGGTAGGTCAACCAGGCTGGTGGTAAAGCAGGTGCTCTGAGAAGAGCTTGGCCCATAGTGAGCACCTGATAGCAATGAAGTTCATGAAAACTAAGTGCTCATCCTTTAACAAGACAAGCAAGGTCAATATTCTGACACAGTCCTCATCACTCTCAAAATGAATGATTTCCTGTTACTTCTCTTCACTGTAAGCACACCTGGTTGTAAGGCACACTGCCATGGGAGGGGATCACCACAGGCTGTCCCTCATCCTCTTACCTGAGCAGATGACAGAGGCCACCTGCCCTTCAGAACACAGTGATGCACCCAGAGCTGTCACAGGGCAGTCTCCCATGTGCTCCTCAGTCCCGTTACAGTGGAAGATGTGCCTCCAGACCTGGCTATTTCCTCTGCCAAAGTGTTCTCCTTCTGGGGTAGAAAGGGCAATTCCACATTTCATCTGCTGGCATAAAACGTGAGCATCTTCCATGTTCCAGTGAGAGCCACAGAGGGATCCCCAGACTCCAAGAACCTTGAGCTCCACTCTTCCCTCACAGGAGGACTTGCCATTAGCCAGGCGCATTTCCGTGTATCCTAGAAAGAAACAGAGCTTTAGAATGATGGCTGTGACTACCGAACTCCAAGGGAACAGAGTGATGATGCTCTCAGGGTCTCACTTGAGCAGACTACGCCAACGTCTCTGCCATGGGCACAAATCCCATCTTGGCGCCGAGCAAGTGGGCAGAGCGAAAGGTGGGACTCGTGTCCTTCACACTGAAATTCTTCAGCCCAGATTTGTCCTTTCCCTTCTCCGAAGTGAGCTCCCCCTAGGAGGGAGATAGCTGAGCCACACTGAAGTTCCCTGCACAAGACATTTGCAGCTTCCAGAGAGAAGTCGGAGTCACAGACGGAGCCCCACTCGTCCCCGTGCTTCACTTCCACACGACCAGAGCAGGGAATGTCCCCATTGACCAGCCTGGGCTCCCTGTGGGCTGAAAACAACAGCATTTCAGTGAAGAAATCGTGATTTCCGTATTTTCTGTCATGATGGGGTGAAGAAGAGGGGGAAAACAGGGGTATGGTGGACCAGGGCATGCAGTGATCTTCCATACTTGTTCCTCTTTGATTTTCTGCCTAGAGGTGAGCAATGGGGTGTCCCCATTCCTCACTGGGCTTCTCCTAGAGAACCACGGAGCATCTGTTTCTGCTGCCAACTGTCCCCCCCCAGAAGCAATTGCTCTTTCCTTCTAGCATTCCATTTATATTATTCACACACAAAATGTACGCTACGGTGTCTCAGTTCTCTATTCACTGCAGTCTGGAATCTGCCTCAATTTTTTCAATGGTTCCAACTAAAATGTTTCAGTATATTTCAGTCTTCAAAATGAACACCAGACTTTTTCTCACTGACATCTGTTATACTTGATATGTATGAACTTCCATTCTCCCATTTTTGCCTTTTTTCCTTTCTGACCCCTGTTCTCCAACCTAACCTTTCGTAGTAAAACTCTCCCTGGAGTCATAGTTCTGTCCTCATAGTTCTCTGTTCCACAGACATCTCTAAATTGCCAACAAATACATTTTTATACATACTTTTCTCTTTACTCTTACATGTCCCTGTTTTGACATCTGAAATTTAAGGTGCTAAAAAAATGAAAGGAAGTAATATGACAAGCCCACTGCATTCTTTCCTCAATTAATAATATCAAAACCAATTTGAAATCACTGTAGAAGAACCTATTTTTATATCACCAGAAACTGTGGTAGCAGTAATGAGTACCTGTTAAATATATGACTTTAATTAGCACTTAATAAACTTTATATCAATTAATCTCTACAATTGCCTTAGGATCTAATTATTAATACAATTCCAATCTTACAGACTAGGAAGCTAAAGCATAGATGGGCGTGTGAGTTTGTTTAGGCCACAGAAAGTGCTAGGAGAGGTCAGAATCTGAAGTCAGCAGTGTATTCCAGAACTGAGGACCTTGAAGCTGACAGTGTTTGTCAGCCCTGCAGCATGTTTCTTCTCTATACCCACTGCCTTTCTTCAGTGTGCAGTCACCCTCTGTCATGTGGTTTCTGTAGTACCTTTCCAAGTGGGCTTCCTTCCAAATCCTCTTTCCAAGAAATCTACCCCATGATTATCAATGTATTACTAAATTCCAAAATTTGTAGATTATTTCCTCATCTCCAACATAATTCAATGATTTCTTACCATTTGCACAATAACTTATCCTTCCAGCAAATATTATTACCCACTTACTCAGACTTTGTGTTAGGCCATTGAAGATGGGTAAGCTAAAAATGTCCAAAAAGCTTTAGATTCCCCAATGTCTGCCAGCTATTAAAATTAAAAAGAAACAATAAACTAATTTCTTAGCATATTGTATTATACCCTATGCTGTTTCTTAAAAGCTTTAATATCTATTACTCTATTAATCATACCCAATGCTTCAGCCAAAAGATATTTGGGCATGCTATAATTTTTCATGCTTTTGGGCCTCTACAAAAACTTTTCTATCTATAGTGTGTGCACCTTCCTGGAAAAGGATACTACTCAATTTCTGGGTAACATTAGGAGTTTTCCAAATAAACAAACTGAGAAGAAGCATGTAAACAATACAACCATAAAAATCACATGATGGAATTGAGGAATTATAAGTCATTTAGTATACTTGGAATTTAAAACATAAAGAGAAAGCACACCAGATACAATCAATGGAACTTTGACTATACAGGTATTCTGTGTCAAGCAAAAGAATGCAGTCATCAAGGTAAGTAATTGCTTCCCTTAAACTCAGAGATAAATTGAATGACTTAGAAAATACAGATAATTTAATACAGATAATGTGCAATGAATATAAAATAGTGCTAAGTAAAAGGAAAAGCAGCTTAGCATAAGCCCTTCGCAGGCGTCTGCTCTCCAATGTCTCTGGCCTCATGATCTCATGATTCCCCTGCCCTCAGCACCATGCAGCAGCACCATGAATGGATACAGCCTCAGCCTTCATTAATTTGCCTACACTGGCTTCTCTTCAGATCACAGAAATCTCCCATCTTACTCTAAAACGTAGGTCAAACTGTTCCAGGTGAGACTACATTCTGTGTTACAGCAGTGTAGAATACCCCACCATTCAGAATCTCACCAAATAACTTAAATCCCTCAAGACAAATTTGAGATGAAGGTGTTGGTCTTTAACTCATAGCTCAGAGTTTAAAGCAAATGATGTCTCTGTGTAAATACCAAATAGTTTCTCTGGTGTGAAAAATTATAACAATACATAAGATCCTAATGAGATAACTGACAATGTGAAATAGGAAGAAAAGGGCTAAAGGTGTGGGGGAGGTGGGAAGGATAGGGGAAAGGTAGTAAGGGAAAAGAAAAAATATGAAAAAATGAAAAAAAGTGTTTGTAAATGGGGAGGAGAAGAGGGGGTGAAGGAAGGGCAGGGATAAGGGGAAAAAATGAGAACCAAGACCTGTCATGTGAAGGTACAGGATCCCAGTAATGAATGTAACTGTAGTGTATACTTAAAATGTACCAATAAACTCAGTGAAAAAAAAGCAAATGATGTCTCTTTGATACAGATAATATTTCTTCAGTTGAAAGTGTCTTAACTTCTTCTTTTAGGGTTGTTATATGAGCATGAAATTCCCGTAAGGCATCTGATCGTGATGAAGCCAATCCCTGTTACAAAAGTGAACAGACCAAAGCCCTGATATAAAGGCAGTTCTTTGGATCAAGCCTCAAGTCAGCTTTTTTGTTTCTTCTGCTTCACTTGTCTGGAGTGATTTCAAGCAAAATAGAATACAACCAATGGAAAATAGACCCCAAACAGACATTTTTATCTTCCAAGATGAAAACTTGTTATACACTTGAAAACAAATCATATCTATAAATATTTTCATTTTCTTTCTCTGAAAATCTCTGAGTCTAGGACAAAAGTGAAATTCTTCCACCCAAAAAGTGATGTAGACTCCCTTTTCAGCCTTTATTTTATGAATCTGCTAAAACATATCTACTCATTTTTGTTTATCAACACAAAATAGATGCTCACATAGAATTTGTGTAGGTATTTTCTGGTTTTATGACATATCTAGTCATGAGGACCAATGTTTCTTTTCAGTTTTAAAAGTATCACTGCATACTAATATTCTTAGACTTAAGCTTCTTCTTCACAAGCAGATTAAAAGTCTCACCTGAGCAGGTAATTTGGGCTCCTTCAGAGGGACAGTCCTGTCCACTCCACTGCCAATTCTTGCAGCCCCAAAGAGAAGTTTCATTTCCACTGCAGCTGCGTATTTCCAACCAGGTTTTTGTTGCTTCTGTTTTAGAGTACAGTACAGCAGAGGTCTGAACTGCAAATCCACAGCCTAGCTGTCTGCAAACGATGTCAGCCTCTTTCATCGTCCAGCCTCTGCTGCATACATTCCCCGCAAGTTTCTGAATTTCTACCTCCACTCTCCCAGCACAGCGGCTGCCTCCACCTGTAAGTCTCAGATGCAGATCTGATCCATCTGTGAACCAAACATAAAGTAGACTACAGACTCCTCCCGTTTAGCCCCCAAAGGATAGTCTTAGTCTTCCTCCTTCCCAAATACTGAGATGCTGGAAATTGTGGCTTAGCCTCTTTCCTGACATTTGAAGGAACAACATGCATAGACCATGAATTTGATTAGATCAAGGATATTTTACAATGTCAGTGGCCAAGAAATATGAGCGATTCTGTCATAAACCAGAGTCCTATAAAAGTGTAACTCTCTGAGCTGCAGGTAGGTTTAGAAATTGAGGTTTTGTCCCTAAGAGAATTCTAAATAATTCTAAATAATTATTGCAGAGAATAGAATAAGCAGATTTCCACACTACTTGAATGAAGACTGTCAGAGATTTTTCACCACAGAAAGTAATTTCTAACAATGTATTTGTTAGGTATTCCCATGGTTAGCAACTCAAAAGCTAATCCCACTCTGAAATAACACAGTTCGTTCCCTGTGTGCTTTTGTTTGTGTTTTAACTTACCAGAACATGTCACGCCAGCATCTTCGTTATGATGACAAAAATGTTTTCCCCACTCCTGGTGTTTACAGTACCAGAGGGCAGACTCATGTCCATTGCAGGCAACACTGTCGAGCAGAATATTTCCTGAGCCTTCGCTGGCATTTGCACGACCCGTGGGCGTGACTGCAGTGGGACATCCCAGCTGCTTACACACCACACTGGCATCACTGCTGTCCCAGCTGTTGTCACACACCGTCCCCCATTCTCCTTGGAATTTCACTTCCACTCTTCCTGAACACCTGCCTCCGTCTGCCAATCTCAGGCCCATGTCTGCTCCCTCTGTTACAGGAAACTACAAGTTAGTTACAAGGGGACGAGACTGAGGGGGACTGTAGATTGTTCCAAGGGGAGAGATAGATGTGGAGGCAGAGATCATCTTATATCTTCAGAATCACTGAAGACAGAAGGAGGATGGGTCAGGCAAGAAGACAGAACTTTCCAGTACAAAGAGCCAGAGAGTGCTCCTAACAGGAGGTCCAGAGCATGAATTTTATGTAAGATCTGCTTGTTTCATGATCAGGGTGTTTTTTTAGAACTGTTTATATTTCTTGTTAAAATATATCTGCATGTGTTTAGGTTTTATCCACAAACTCCATTTTGCCTCAAAACTTAAGGCCCCTTTGTGCCTCTGGCCTCATTACCCATCTGTACTGTCTGGTTTGGGTCCTATGCCTGACTTCGTTCTTCCTCCCTTTAAAAAGAGTGCAGATAGAAAAGAGGGGCTGCCATTACTCCTTTCACCAACTCCAATCAGTATTTCTTAAAGAGAAGACCTTGACTCTGAAGAGTGTCCTATGATATGAAAATAAACTCTTTCCTCATCTATAATTTCAGTTTTTTGCAGCAGTTCTTGTTTATTTTGGGTTCTTCAGCATGAGTGAAACACACTGTAAAGAAATGCAAGGCCTAGAAAGATGTGAACTGAAAATATTTTTTTCTAACCAAATCCCTTTTATTCCCCTCGGTTAACAGAATCCACCCTGTAGGGATCTTATTCTTTGTGCTTCAGGCTGATCCTGTTGTTCAAGGAGAAAAAGTCAACTCAAGAAATGGAGGAGGAGACAGAAGCCAGAGGATGTTGCTCAAGCACTGGAATCCACCCCTGTACTAAACTAAATATAGCCTCTGCATTTCCCAGTTTCATAAGCCTTTATTCTCTTATTTTAATCTTGGCTTTGAAATGAACTTTCTTACTTTCCAGAGAGAAAGAAAAGAGGAGATCATTGGCAAAGATAGGGATACTTTTACTGTAATTGTGTTTCCCTAAGTGCTCTTTTGTGTGCAAAACACACTAAGTCTCTTTCAACCCAAAAAGTCTAGTGAAACAGAAAGAGTGATGTCTGTGTGTACATGAATTCTGTTTCTGGTTCCCAGGGCAAAGTGTGGAACACAAAAGTCTCCACACCGACCAAACATAATGGTACCGCCATTCACAAACTTGATTCTTTCCACAATTCTGGTCATGCACCAAACTGCATGAGAACCGCATCAAATTTCCCCAGAAGTTCAACATTGAACCTAACCACTGAATTTGATTTGGTTCTTTGCTTTGTAAGCAGAATTGTGGAAAGAATTAGGTTCATCGACCAAGGTGCCACTTATATATAACTTATAAACAGTATACACTTACACTGTAGCCTTAGCATAAATGAAGTTTGAATAGGAAACCAAAACATTGGGAGGTTTTGTTTTTGTTTTTATCTTTTGAGTCTGTGAATTTGAATTAATTATTTGGGAAGGAGCAATTTAATGTGGCCACAGAAGAGACATTATTTAAAGAGTAAACGAATCAGTCAAACATCACAAAGTAGACAGCCATTAAATTATACAAAAATTAATTTTTGAAGAAAGACCTCTTGTACAGATTGGGAAAAGAAAGATTTTCATAGAGATGTCTATTTGAGCAAGAGAGTTAATTTTTTATTTTTGTTTTACTAGTGACGCATACTTGCCAGTGGTAACTTATTTATCTTCAATTTCTCTCTTTCCATTCTCTCTTCAAAACCTGAGCCCTTAAAATGGAGTGAACTTCCTTTTGTCACCTCAGCACTGCTGATTCAAGATAACTCTGTAGTTTTCTTTCCTAGGACTTGTTAAATGCCCAAAGGCACTTTTCAACTGTACATTTGATCAGATTGTTAGCTTTTTCTGTTTTATTTCTTTTGAAACCCTTGAATAAAAAACTATGAAACATTAAAAAAAGAATAAAAGAGAATAGTTTATATTTCATTTATTTATTAATATTGGGGATTGAGCGCAGGGCCTTTACACTGAGCTACATCCTGAGCCCCTTCTGTTTTTTAGGTTTTTTTTTTCAGACAAGTCTTCATTAAATTACTAAGTTGCCTAGGCTGGGCTCAAACTTGCAGTCCTTCTGCCCCAGCCTCCCTGAGTGCTTGTATTATAAGTCATGATGCCAATTGGGTTTCTCTTAAAACTAAACCAAAGCACAAATTTCCATGTTAAGCTTCCCCCACCACTTTCTCTCTCCTTTCCTCCTTCCTTCCCTTCAATTTTCCTCCCCTCTCCTTTCCTCTTTTCCATCTCCTTACTTACCTTTTCCCCTTCCTGCTCTTTCTCATTTTGTTAAACAGTTCTCTGCTCATGACTCATGATCTAGAATGTCTAGAACTTCCTGCTACTTTCTGTTAATGTAAAGCCACAAATATCAGAACTAGAACCCAAAATGCAGCAGTGCTGAGGTGACAAAGGGAAGTTCATTCCATTTTAAGGACTCAGGTTTTGGAGAGAGAAAGGAGAGAGAAGGAGCTGTCCTTACCCAAGCAAATCACTCCAACATCTTCACCATGAGCACAGTTATGGCTTCCCCATCCTCGGTGACCACAGTACCAAAGAGCTGACTCATTTCCATGGCAGGACATATCATCAAGCCAGATCCGTCCAGAACCTGCTCCAAACTTTGCAGATCCAGAGAAACTGATGGCACCTCCACATCCCAGTTGGTTACAAACCACAGAAGCATCGTCCATGTAAAACTGATCATCACAAACTGTTCCCCACTGTCCTTGAAATTTGACCTCAACTCTTCCAGAGCACCTGTTGACCCCATTCACCAGCCTCAGCTCCAATTCGGATCCATCTAGAACAAAGTTTAAGTGTCACACATTCATAAGTGATTTTACAGTCGGTTTTCTCATGATACTTAGAATTTCTTGCTCTTTTAAAAGTTGCACCAGATTTTGGATCTGCTCCACAGATTAGAGAATTTTAACCTATTAGAATCCAGTTAAAAATTAGGACTTTCTTTTACATCTAGAGATTAAAGTTTTTAAACTTTCTAGTGTATTGTCTTTCTACTACTAAGAGAGAAGTTAACACTTTTGTTTACAAAGAAATATACAAAATTGACGCAATATATATTTAGAAAATAATTTTTATTTATAAAACCAAAACCAAATTAATTAAGTTTTAAATTAGCCCATAAAATTAAGCAGTAAAATTAACACACTGGCTATTCACTGAAAGTTTAAAATCTTTATTTTATCCTTTCTTTGTTATAAAAAATTCAATTTAAACAATTGAAGTTGGATTTAGAATTAGAAAATAGGAAAATGCAAATATAAAAATATATGCAATGAATAGGGCACGATAGTTTGTAAGAGCATGGTGTGGAATTGAAATAAAAAGTAATCAACGTAGCTTACTTCTCATCCCTAATTGAAACAAAGCCTTTTTCACCCCTCTCCAAAGCACTGAGATGATTGTTAGTGAAAAGAAGCTTTGATTATAAGGAGATTTCTTTCTGCACGCAATCTTTAGATTTTTTATGGGCACTAAAACATGTGAATAAAGAAGATTTTGAATGAGATTTTGGACACTTGAAAAATTGTGTGTGGTTAACAAAAATACTTAGAAGCTTGAAATACAATTTATTTTTACAAACTGTAAAGTCCAGGCAAAGACTTAACAAGATTTATTCTTATGGTCAATTAATAATAATTAGAAATAATAAAAGCTGGTAGCAAAAATATGCATATTCTCTTTGAAGTGTATTTCCTGCCATTTTCTTTATTCCTTAAAACTTTATATGCTGTATAGTTATCATTTCACTTCACAGAGAAAAAGTCTGAGATTAAATAATTGGGCAAAAGTCAAACATGCAGAAAATGGTAGAGCTGGGATGTGGGGGCGGACATTGAGCATCACAGAATATCTTCTGGATTATTGTGATTTATGGCTTCAGTGCCTGTGCTAAAGAGGTAGAGGATCTGAAAATTGAACATTAAGTAGGGTTAGAAACGTGGACCCTGGAGTTGGGTAAAACTATCACACCCTTGTATAGCTATTGACAGTTTCTACTATGATGCTCCAGTTGTGGTTTCAGGTATAGAACTTCAGAAAGTTTGATTAACTCCATCCTTAGGCAAAAACAAAACAAGAGCTAAAAGTATTCTCTTAGCTGATCAGCAGTTCTACAGATAATAATAATTACCATAAGAGCTTATTAAAAATGTATTATGGCTTTAAACCTTGCTGTAGATATGACTTTTGTTATTCTGTACTTACTAATGATTAATAAGAAGTAAAAGAGTAGGGAGAGAGGGAGATAATGAGGAGGCAGAGGATGAGTGAAGAAGGGAGAGGAGAAGGATGTGGAAGAGTCGAAGGAGGAGCAGGAAGGTAAGGAGGAAGGAGGAGGGGAGCAAAAAGAGAACAAAGGAGAACTGATTCATAAAGGCAAGGAAAGGCAAGAGGCCATGAAGAAATTAATGTTTTCAGCATCTATTACATACTGAACAGATTTCCAATCACTCCACATGCATTATGTAATTGAGTCCTCAGGAAATCTGAAGTTTAGAGAGATTTAACAACATTTTATGAAATTCTAGCACTGTGAACTTCTGAGAACTGGATCAAGCACCTCTCTGGTTAATAGCTAGCACTGTTCCACTCCAGTGCATGACAGTGACCAATTCCTTTGATAGGGATCCTGTAGGAGAAGTGACTCTAGGAGAAACTAAGGGGGTGAAGAAGATTGCATGAAAACCAGCAAAATGAGCAGGGAGAAAGGGGGAGCCCAGGAATCGAACCTGGGTCAGACATGTGAGATTTGTCAGCAGAAAAAAGTGACGCACAATTTTCTGGATTAATGTTATATCACTGGACATAAAATTATAAAAAAGTCATAAATTAAAAACACAATGGAAATAAAATGAACAGTATTAAACACTGAGAAAAGCAATTATACTGTGAAAATATCCTTCCTCTAATAAGGTGAGATTAGTATTAGTGCTAGAAACATTTGTTTCTTGTCTAGGTAGTCAGCTTTTGTGTAAAATAAAGTGATCTACAGATCAAATCCATTAAATCAATAAGTCACTTGGAAAGGGGACCAGAATGAACTTTGAGATCATGATACTTGTACGCTATGGTATTATTACTGAATATGGTACTATTACCAGTCACTGTCTCATTGATCATGGTGTCTACAATCTGTTTTTTTTTTTTAAGTCAGGTTTTCTCATTTTTTTTAGAGTGGGTGTTTTCTCACAATGAATTTGATAATTTTATGGATGGGCTACATAAATTCTATAAAAGTGGCTCATTTTACACATTTTTTCCACCTTCATGTTATAATGTGCATGAAATGCTCATGAAAAATAGGAAACCCAGGAATCTGACTTGAATCAGGAATGCACCCTTCTAATTTGCTTGGGCTTATGCAAGTCTTACCTGAACAAGTTACTCCAGCATCTTGTTGGTGAGTACAATTTTGGTTTCCCCATCCATTATGGTTGCAATCCCAAAGAGCAGATTCATTTCCTCTACAGGAAATATGATCCATCCAAATACGCCCAGATCCAGCACTGGAATTAGTCCATCCAGAGGCTTTGACGGCAGTTGGACATCCCAGCTGACTACAAACCACAGAGACTTCCTCCATGTCCCAATCATGATTGCATACAGTTCCCCACTCTTCCTGCACTTTCACTTCTACTCTGCCACTACATTTGTTCTCACCATCCACTAGTCTCAGCTCCTTTTCTGTTCCTCCTGCAACAGTGAGTTGAGAGAGCAATTGGTCAAGGTCACAAAGAGCCAGAGGGGAATTAAAATTCTTTGTACTTATTTATCCTACAACGTCAGATTTCAGAACCATCCTGGTTCCACCCATTATATAAAGAAACAATGTTATTTTGTACACATTCAAATATAACCATCAATAGCACAGGCTTCAAATAAAGCAAGGATATAAAACCAGTAAAGCTAAGTAACACAAACTACATGATATATTATTTGATCACTGGATTTTCTTCTTAATGGCAATTTATACAATCTTCATGGGAGTTTACTAGTTAAATAAGATTCTACAGATTTTTATAGGGATGGACTACATATGAATTTCTTAAATCCTAAAATCACTTAAAAGAGGCTGACAATGGAATTATGGGTACAAAGGCCAGTAATAAGGAATTAAATAAATACTCATTTCACACATGCATGTAAAATAGCATTGATCTTAAAGACAATAGTTGAAATCTGATCATAGCTAATGCACTTAAATGAAAATTGAGATGGAGATATTTTGCTATAATCCTTCCATTATAAACTCCTTTCCCATAACTTCTCTAAATTATCTCAGTTGCCTTCTTATCATTATTTGAGCATAACTTAAAAAAAACTGGTTTTCCCTGAAGCCTGAATTTTTTCAAGACATTCTTAGATAAATTTTGGCATTTGAATTTATTAAAGTGTTGAAGTTTCTTCTCCTGTGTATCCTTCTTATTTTTCAGCTAAACTTTCTTTCCAAGCTTTAAGTTACATGGCTACTTTTCCTGTGAGTATATTTTATTAAGAAGGAGAACCAGGTAGATATTTGATGTCACACAATTTGGTTGTTATTGTGTGTTTTTAATATTTGATACCTCCAGGCCATGGAGTATAATTTTTAGATGGTATTCAGTATATAGAATCACTTATTTAACAATTTTTGTGAGAATGAACTAAGACTTAAAGTGAACTTTACAAACTACTCACCAAGGCAACTGGTTATGAAAGACACACTGAGAAGTAAGACCACAGCAATAGTGAAGGGATTCGAGTGAATTAAATGTCTTCTGAAATCTGTTAAAGAAAGAAAGAAGGCAAAAATAGAGCCTTCCCAAACACAGACTTTGGAAAAAATATGGTAGAGAAGTTTGGAGTTAAGTAAGATCAAACCAAGAAAGGAAGTTCTTCCTTCTAAATGGAAAACAGGAGAAATTCATACCCAGGATCATACAGTCTCACTGAAATCACTTTGAAAATGTTTCTATAAGCAGGCAACCTAAGGATACAGAACTAGAAGAAAGTAGAGGGTTGAGTAAGTATTGCAAAGGCAAATCTTAAACCTGGGGAATTGAAAAAGGCATCAATGAAACTAAAAATATATAGATATCCCTGAAAGTATAAGACAGATTTCCTGAGACTTCTACATTCTCCTATCTCCTCAGTATTCTATTATTTATACCCTTACCTCTATGTCTACCTAACCCACACTATTAGACAGTGAGTTCCATGAGGGAATAGATTATGTCTACTATGTTCATTGAAGTGTAACCAGTATCTGGTACACTGTTTGCCAAATACATCAATATAATACAGTGTCAGTATTTATATCTGATAGATCGAAATACCAGATTTTGTCCTCTCCAGCTATAACATAAAAGTTTAGTTTTTATCACTCCCATCTTCTTCCCTTAATATTCTTGCCCAACATTAGTTTAAAAGTAAAAATGATAAATTATTTTAACATGTCCATATAAATCATGAAATGGATTTAACACAGAAGTGTTATACTGCATTTCCTCTAAGTAGTTATCTTTAAATCAATAATCATCCCTATATATTGTCTTTTCTAACAATCCTTGGCTCTAGACCCAATACATTTCAGTTTAAACTTCAGTTCCTGACAAGCTCATCTCAACAGTTTTATAAGTCCAGGCTAGCTCTTGTCCCTTTCTTACACCTTTCATTTTGAATCTATGGCAGATCAAAATCAGTGCCATCACCGATAAGTCCTCCTTTTCCATTCTTACTCTCTTAGACTATCAGAATAATACTAAACTTCAATAAAGGTGAAAAGCAGGAAAAATGAAATATTTTACCAGCAGATCCAGAGTCTTTAAGAAACATTATTCTAGGTTTGTCCATTCCAAACCTCTATGATTTCAATAGATTCTAAGTCTTCTCATATTATTATTCCAAAGAAATGATGTCCCAAAGAAACGGAAGACTGAGAACTCAGAATACTCTCCTTACTCGTATAAAAGCAAAGGCTACAGAATGGAGGTGGGGTCAACCCAAAAGGAGAAGTCATTGAAAGAGCTGACTCCTTTCATATTCGTGTTTTCTTCTATATAGGAAATAAAACTACCCAAGGAAATTGAGAAGAATTATCCACAGATTTATAAAAACAGGGAGAAATGTTTATTCATATACCATTGAATAGTTTTTAATTTTTGAACTTTGTTTTGGATTAATATTTGGGATGCATAAAAATAGTAATTGTGTAAACTATGTGAAAAGCTAAAGTAAAACCAGCAAAAATGTAAATAAGTGAAGTTTTATCATTGTATTCACTGTTAATACTTTGCCCATAATTGAATACATCTAGTGAATAATTTGTGTAGACTGTATGTAGACTGCAATTGTATTTTTTTCTAATGGAAGAGCCATATCAATAGAATTTGCCACGAGTATCAGTGATTCCACAATAGTGGAACAAAAAGACCCTGTTTTGAAGAAAAAAAAAACCAAAAAAGGCAAAAGCAAAAAGAATAATTACACTAAATGTAATTGGCAATCCTGGCAAAATGGAATTCTCATAAAGCCCAGTCTTATTATAGGAATCTAAAACAGTGCAAGCCCTTTCTAGAACAATTCAGCATTAAAAAAAACACATGAATCCATTCAACAACTTATGCACGAATACCCATGCCAGTTTTACTTGAAATAGGCAAAAAATGGAAACAACCCTGCTGTCCTCCAGTGGAACATTGGGTAAACAGGCTGTGGAAGATGCTCAGCATTAAAAAGGGTGGAACTGTTAACACATACAGCAAAGTACATGCATCTCATTCTATTTATATAAAACTGTGGAAATGCAAACCAATCGACTATGGCTGGAAACACTGCTTATGTAGGAATTGGTTGGAAGAAATAGGAAGAGGGATTACAATGAGAGCAATCATGGTGAAACTTTGAGGGGGCATAATTGATGTGTTTATTTCCTCGATGGTGTTGAATGTTTGCATAGACATTCACGTATTGCAAAACTAAAGGAACTGATCACCTTAGATTGTGTGAAAATTTGCCATCAATTGTCTATCAATAAAACTATTTTAAAAAGCCCTAGTGAGTAATTATTGATGGAGGATAAATGAAAAAGAGAAGACTAATATCAGCCCAATCCTTCAGATTTCCAGGAACACACAACACAGAGCAAACCCTTCGAAGAAGGCCAAGTTTGGGGCAAACTGAAAATATGAAAAAATGTGAGTAGGTCTGGAAGCCAGAAGGTAAGGTTTTGTGAAATGTGGGACATTTTTATAAGAATATGTACATGGGAAATGAGAGAAGGAAGAAGAATAAAGAGGGGCTTTCAGAATTTGAAGCTTTTTTTTTCAGTGAGAGATTTTTGGTCTTGTTAGTAGTCATTGTCTCCCTTTCCCCATGTATCTCTTCTCTGAATTTGGTCATTACTTTCATTGGAACCATCTAAATTTCCATAATAAAATAAGATCCTTTATTCCTGAGATGTGAATTTGTACATGTAAAATGTAGGTGTATAATTTTATACCTAAATCGTAGAACAAAGTGATGCTTTTTCATGTAAAGTGGATGTGTATAGTGTTGCTATAAGTCATGAAATAAATTGAAGCTTTTTATTACAGCGTCTTCCTTTACCCACTCATATAGGATGCCTGTTCTCTTCCTCACTCACCCAATATATAGCCTCTCTGGAATGCTGAGATATCCAAGTTCCAATTTTTTAATGTTCTACTAAACAGTAATAGACAATTGTCTAGTTTTCTGTTTCAGTTAGGGAGAATACTCACCTACATATAATTACTCTTGGTGATACAGTGTCAGGACTCCTTTTGTTTCAAATTCTTCTCCTACTCCTTTTTAGCAATTTTGTAAATTTCCTCATTTCTGATTTTCCCCCTCAAAATCTCCTAAAGAATTGTATCCTGACTCCTCTGTGTTTTGGGCCTTAATTAACTCAATATTTTCCTTTGTCTTAGATTATTTCACTTTAATATTCTAGCATATTGAATATAAATGCAAGCCATCCATTTGCAAATTCAGACATTTACACGGAGCACACCAAATGAATGTTTGCAGAGTACGAAATTCTTACTGCATATGAAAAATTCATTGCAGGCTGCTTATTGACTAATAGCTGAGGCTGATTCCAGTACACTGGGTTTTTGTACTCATTCCAGTACTGAACTTCTGCTTTGTTTGTGCCTATGACAAATATTATATCAAGTGCAAATTCCAAGAATTTCTTCTTCCTTATGATCTACTTCTGCTTCATTTGCTTTCTTGATTTTTCTCTCCAGGTCAGCGAGTGCTTTATTACTGGAGATCCTGCCCTCTGAAGCATATTTATAGAAACGGAATATAAGATATCAAGGAAGACCCTAAGAGGTGATGAGTGAGTAGTATGATCAATTTTCTGCTTTAAACAATGGCTCTTCATAGAGTTTGGAAAAGGAGCTTCCAAAAGGATGAAAATAGACATATTCCAAGTAAAGATAAGAGAATGATGTTGATAGCTCCACCAAGTTAGTTATTAGTAGAAGTTATAATTTAAATAGTATACATGTCAATGATAGCAATATATCATCATCCTAAAACTGTGATCAATTTAATTGTGTCTATTTTAAACACAGATAAGATAGAGAACCGAACATATGCAAAATATATCCTGGTAGTCTCAATGGTCAACTCTGATAAAGAGTTGTGGGAATTTAAAGTTTTGGAATAAACAACAGTAAAGACTATCATTAATATAATAAGAAACACTGATGTAGGAGGACATTCAGAAATAATAAGTGTTGAGTTAAATTGAATATATGACAGCTGAAGACTGTTTCAGTCATACAAAAGAAGTCAATAAGCGAACAATTACATAAGCAATTAGGAATCCTAGAGAAGAAATCTAGAATTGAGATTAAGTATGAAAGTGTAGTGAATTATTTAATTGTTTGCTGCTTTGGCATCCATTGTGAATATGAGATTTTGTCATACCAGAAGATTTTAGTTGCCCTGGATAATTCCAACGCTTCACCTGCTCCTGATTCATCACTGTAGCTGATCCAGATGTCTACTTCATACAGCTACCTGCAGGTAGCCACATTCCTATGGGCCAGCCAGATACAGCCTATTTGACTGCTCCTATTGATCCCCACACCCTCCCTGGACAACCCAGATAGGTACAGTGCCAGCTCTCAATACAGCATGACCACAGAATTCATACCTGCCTCTTCTGAATTTACCAATCACAACTCCCCAAGGGAAACCTGCCCAGGAAATAGCCTGAACCCAGGGAAGGATTTGGTCCTCAAATTCTTCTTTTCTCCAACCACTGGTTGAGTGAGAATGTCGGACAGCACCCCCTTTCCTATTGTCTCTGTCCTCTTCTCTCTGGAATGTGTGAGACATACATCACTTTTGTTATTTTGTATGTAGTATTGTAATGACTCCCATGAGTCTCATCTGTCCAAAGCACCTGAACCCAACTCTGGTTCTGCCAGAGAACTCGTGTTCTCCTGGAGGTGGTTATCTTGAAGGGAATAAACTAGACAATTTAGATAAGAACCAGAAGGGCTTCAGCCAATACTGGTGTTTCCTGTGAGAGACACTTGGTTATGGGTCAGACATTAGGCATTTGGCTGTCTGCAGGTGAATGGGGCAGGGCTGCAGTACAACCACTCTCCAGGGAAAGCTGAAGCTAAGTTATAGGAACATTGCAGCAGGGGGTTTTTTAATGTAACTGAAAGTAGAAGTTATAGAAGTCAGAATTCACCCACAAGAGGAGTCTAAGTAAAGACTGACATTAATGAAATTGCAATGTGGACAGGAAAAGAGGAGGAGAGTTTTCATAAGAAAGAAAGTAGGAATGATCGGACATACGAGAAAATCCCAGAGGATGAGTTCCCATGGCCAAGAAAAGAAACAAAGAGGCAACAGGTCATCTCTTGAATGATGTTAAAATAACAAGTAAGACAAACACACACAAATCTTTTGTGTTTGTAAGTATGGTGAGAAGAATCTCAGCAGGGCTTTATTTGTTTTCTGAGAAGATGAATTAGTAACATAATATGGATTATGGTACAAAGAGCTGATGACAGGACTGAGGGTTCAAGAAAGGACAAAGAACACGATTTAAAACAGTTTTCTTTCAACGTAGTTGTGATATTTTTAAAAGACATTTGTAGCACTGATCACAGCCAACAGAGGAAAAGGGAGCAGGGTGAAATTCAGAGTCTATGTCTCTCTGGGTCACCCACTCAAAACTTTCCCATTGCTGTGCAGCAAATCTTCATGCTTACCCACTCCAGAAGCAGCAACACTGCAATTGTGTTGAGAAATGAACCCTTTCTTTCTTTCCACCCTGTTATTAATTTGTCTTAGCCAGAACAACCATTGCCTGTAAATTTCTAGCCTCTGAGAGATGCTGTTACAGAAATGCTGTAGATGGCAAGTTCTTTTCCTACTCTTAACTGGCCATAGTGATTTACAGGAATAGTGAGAGTCAGCATTGGAACAGAAAGCCAGATATCAGTGTTTTAAGGAAGGAGAGTAATAAATGTCTTAAAGACAAACCAGAAAGTGAACACTTCAACTTGAAAACTAAAGACAAGGTAGATAATTTGAATTAACCCTTCCACGAAACAATGGAAGAGAAGTCAGTAGCCTGCCGCACAGGGAAGTCATTCTTTGAGCGTAACTTTCAGTGTCATAGGTCTACAGCTGCATGGACCATCTAGAAACAGGAGAGGAGTCCCTGATTTTCCAGTGGCCTTTTCCAGTAAACAGAATCTCCATGAATGTGACTTTGAAAACTTGAAGTGCTGTGTTGGGTTAGGTTAGGGTGGATTCTCAAGTTCTCAGGTTAGGTCAGAGTTGGGTTCTTCTGAAGGAGCAGGAGTCATGTTACTTTGCCACAGTCCTTGAAGGATCATTCAGATCAC